AAATTCGCATCGATCCCGAAACCCCATTCAAGTGGACCAAAGATGCCTGCTCTGGACTTGGTAATGGTACCACAGAAAAATTCAAGTCAGCCCAGAACACCGCTCAATTCAAAGAGAAAGTTTGATTTCTCTTCTTCAAACTGATATTTCCTCCCCTGACGACATTCGCAGTTTCATGAATTGTGATTGCCACCTTACTAACCTGGCAAGTCAAGTTACCACCCAGAAAAGGGGGAAAGCCAAGTACTAACAAAAAACAAATGGTTTGATTGGAGTGTAGGCATGCTAAACGATTAGTCTGTAGAGACGAAAGAGCCAAGATAACACCCACATCGATCCTATGCTCGTGGAATCCAACCGAGCAAGATTTTACCTCCGTAAGAAAGAATACAGGGCACAAACACGAGCTAGAAAGGGAGCTTACCTATACAAACTTAACGAGAAAATCAACCTCAGCAACAACATCAACTGGGCTGCCTTTAAACGACCTCTCGTCCGCTTGCAAGGACCCCGATACATTCGACATATATGACCTGATCGCATTTCACACCAAGTTCTTCAACGACCTATACAATCAGAAGTGCAAGGACCCCCTCGCACGGTGGACTACAAACGAACACTTCGACCAACGAAGCTGGTGAACAGGGACCGAGTACCACCTCGAGCCATCAGTCGAACTTGAAAAACTCAACACAGATTTTACTATCCAAGAACTGGAGAAAGTCCACCAATAAGCTCCAGAATAACAAAAGCGTTTCATGTGATCTTATCTCCAACGAGATGCTCAAGAGCTCCAAACTCGGTCTCCAAAAAGTCCTTCAAAAACATTAAAATTTTCTAACGAAAAGGAATCTCCCCCTGGAAACGCCAATAATACCCCCCTAAAAAAAAAGGGGGGCAACAAACCCCCCGAAAATATAGGCAATCACAGTCGGAATTTCCCTTGGAAAACTCTTTGATCCCCCTCCTTGATGGTGATCGAAATTCCGAAAAGTCGTCTGTCCCATTCCCCCCCCAACTGGGTTTCGAGGGTCCCCAGTGCTCTGCCATATCCGACCCTTAAACGTCTCGGAATTACAAAAAGTAAAGAAGAAAATATTCGCTTGCTTCGTGGATATCGTAAGCGTTACACGTCTGCAGGGAGGCTCATAATCTCAAGTAGATTTGATCTAAGGTTTCTCTTGCCTCCAAACATGTACAGAACTAGTTACCCGTTAACTTACAAGAAGCTGTCTAACCACGATTCCCATTGGTACCAACAGGCATCAATGTCGCCGGAGCTCTTCAAGCATATTTATGACCTCCAAAGGCCTAAAGTCTAAGGCTTGTAAATTCCGAAGAACGGTCTTCAAGGTGCCAAATCTTTATGTGGCATTGACTGAAAAACTTTGGTGTAACTCAACGCATAACAAGCCTTCAGCAAACAACTTATTTTGCCTTCACCGAATTTAGCAAGGTTAAATGGGACCTGATCAATTAACACCCCCGACAATTACCCAAATCCTGGTTTTTCAATTTCGGGTCTGTTTGAGAAGTGTTCCTCGGTTCAAACTGACCTGTCTCTCATCGTCCAAATCTTACTTGCATCTTAGGATTTTAATTCAGTTTAACGTTTTTCATTAAATTGCCAATGAACGGAACCTGATGAAAAAATACTGAAGGATTTTTCCGGTTGGAAGAGAAAATGGTCGAACAAGTCGAGGCATTAAGGCAACCGCAACGCATGCTTAAAGGTTTAAAAGCTGTTTAAACCAGTAGTATATATGCTTCAGATACTACGTTAAAATGCAAAGAATTTTGCGCTATGGTATCAGGTTACATCAATTGGGTATGAGCATGAAAAAATGAACCCCGCACTTGTCAGACAAAACTACTGACAGCAGGTGTTGCTTTGTAAATGGTGTCTTCGGTTATTAAAAGAAATCTTAACACGCACTTCTTTTCGGAGATACTAGGTTAATAATATAATGGTAGCTCTGCCCTTTACGTTTAATGGTGCAGATACTACGCAATTTCTCAGAATCATCCGATGGAAATTTTTCTATGTTATCGTGAAACATTAATGAGCAGAAGAACTAAACACTCATGGTATAAGACCTGGTTGATCGCTTTTCATGCTCTGAATCCACAGGGCCTGTTTTTCCCGTTTCCCCCTATAAAGCCGAAAATACGACGTAATTTTGGAAAATTGGATTCAGTTGGTTGTGATGAGTTGTAAAAGTTTTGGTATGGTGCAGTTTTGTCCCAAACATAAATGCAAGTTTTTACTGGTTAATAAAACGGTAATTCGTGAGAGGGCAATCTGAGACTACGAAAAAGTCGATGTGCAATGCTAGAGATGATGTTTACGTGGCTGGACTCTTATTTTGAGATGAAGGGAGGAGTAGGCAGAAAGAATCTGGAACGTTGGCGGAACCGTGTTGTGCCAACAAGTGATCGTTCAAGGCTTTAATACTCTTTTTGAGGCAAAAACATTTGAAATTTTGAAGAACAGTGCCTCACTGGAATGTCCAATTTTAACCTTCCTAGAAGTGGTCTAGTGTTCAACCTTAAGCGATCTTTAGTGTCAAAGGGGAAATACGGAGGCTTTATGTAATTCGCCCATGACAAGATCTGGGCAATACTCCTTTCAGACTTCTCTTGGATGGTAACCCGACACATACGACTCCAAATGGCGTGTAAATCAGGTAACAACTCCCGACATAATACTCGTACCACGCCCTTTTTATGGATTGCACCGAACCCTTTTGGGGAAACGGGGAATGTAAAGTAGAGTTGACGTTCCAAGTACTTGTGATGTGCGTGGGAGTGACCCAGTTTGGGGTCTTCCAATGTTCTTTGTGGTGATCTAATATGCTGATGCGGGACCATTGAGTTGACTTTTTACACTTGCGTCACTTATGTTAAACTGAGTATTTTGATGGACATTTTTTCTATTCGGTTGTTTTGTCAGTGAGTAAATGATTAAGAGAGTATTGTTTTAAATTTTCCCCATGATTCTCAGAAATCTACGACAATTTTACTTTACTTAGAATAATGTTATTCGTTCATGTATATAGTCTAGGAAACGATTGTGTTTGTTCATCCCGAAAAGCTTGCGTTTAAATTCCGCTTTAATTCCATTACTAATTTCCCAAAATTAAAAACCAACTCTCAGGTCTCTCATTCTTCACAGCTGACGTCACAGCACTGTACACAAACATCAACATCAGTGGCTGCATTCAAGACCTCATTACACTCACCGAAGAACATTGGGAAGACCTCGACACCTGGGGTCTAACACTCACGCACATCCACAAGATCCTTGAATTCGTCTTCACCAACTCATACTTTACATATCACTCAAGACTCTACCTCCAGAAAATTGGTCTCTTCATGGGGTGCCAACCATCACCAATAGGAGCGATAGTACGAGTATATATGTTCGAGAGAAGATCGATTTACACTGATTTACACGTCTCATTCTACCGGAGATACGTGGATGATGCCGGGAGTCTAGCCAGCTCCAAAGAAGAAGCTCTGAGGATAGTGGAGTCCATCTCAAACGAGGACCCAGACCAGTTGCTCAAATGGGAAATTGACTATCCGGAAAGCCGTCAGGATTTCACCCCATTCCTCGACACCCAGATAAAGATCGACGAACAGGGAACACTACACCACAAATTCTACAGAAAGAAGCAGAAAAAGAATATCACACTGCACGCCAACAGCCACCACAATGAGGGAACTAAAGTAGCAACCATCAAGAACTTCTACAAAACGGCTGCTTTTTGCTCATCAACACCAGAGTATAAAGAAGAGTCCATGAAGATAGTAGACAACTTGTTGGTCAACAACGGTTACCAAGACCCACGACGTATAAACAAAACAGGACGACTTCACCCTCTCTCACCTACAACACGTCATAACCCTTCATCATCAAACATACAAGATACCGACCACGTAACATGCACTCTACCATTCATCAACGAGCCATTTTCCAAAGAAGTCACTCAATTTGCCCTCTCACACAACTTACCGGTCAAATTCATATTCACACCAGGTAAGAAACTCTCAGAGATCTTATGTTCATCACGACCACACGACAAACCACACTGCACCATACCAAACTGTATCATATGTCCACTCATCACAACAAATCACGACTGCAAACCAAAATGTGTCATATACAAAGTTACGTGTAAATTATGTCAAGAGCTATATATAGGGGAAACGAGTAGAACAGCACACGATAGATTTTCAGAGCATCGAAGAGCAGTCAACAGGCCTTTAACCTATCCTGATAATGCGTTGGCTGCTCATTATTCAGAGTTTCACGATAACATAGAACCAGATATTTCCTTCGATATTTTAGAAATTAACTTATATAGCACCATTAAACGTAAAGTGACAGAAGCTTACTACATTAATTTATTTAAACCTAGTATCAATAACAAAGAAGAGTGCGAGAAGCTTAAGGGATTTCTTTTACAACATATTCAAAGACAAATTTAAACAAATAGCACACGACCCTGCTGTTCAGTAGATATTATGTACTTGGACAGAGTGTAAAACGTGTGTACATCACTATTTTCAATGTAATGTACAATACCATTTGATGTAACCTGTATTCAGTGTGTGTAATTTTAATTTAGCATTTTAACTAGTATAGAAGCATTTATTATATACTAACATTTATAACAATTTTAGCCTGAAGATGGCGTTGACGCCGAAAATTTGCCCTTACTCCTAACTTCCTTGTTTCACTTGTCCTTGTCTCTTCCAACCGGATAATATCCAGATATCAGTATTCTATTGTACGTTTGAGATACTTGAAGGTACTTTTTTTGAATAGGTCAGAGGGGTCAGAAGATAATAGTGATTACTTACCCCTCCAGTGCCCCTACAAAAGTGATTACTTACCCTCCAGTGCCCCTATAAAAGTGATTACTTACCCCTCCAGTGCCCCTATAAAAGTGATTACTTGCCCCTCCAGTGCCCCTATAAAAGTGATTACTTACCCCTCCAGTGCCCCTATACGGCTCAATCTTTTCCTTGTTCATATATTTCGCTTGGTCAGGATTAGCGTAAGCTGCTTCGATTAACTGAAGATATGACACATTATTTACAAAATGAATTTAATTTGATTTGATTGATAAATAAGGTAGAACTAGAAGAAAAAGCAGTTCAAGCATCGCGACTTACAGCATCACCGAAGTAAACCCCTGGCTCAACAGTAATGACCATGCCCTCCTCCAAGTTACGGGTCGTTCTCAGATACTTTATACTAGGTTCCTGGATGCGAGGTGGAGCGTTCACGTATCCACCTGGTAATGTCACGTGATAACATAAACACGTGATATCATAAACAGTATCATGGTCCAAAACGAAATAGCCAAAGGCGTAAAACTTGAAAAATCCACAATTGAAGATGTTGTTGCCTGTAAACTTGAAAAAAATTACTTTGGCGTAGATAATGATATATTCATTGTTAACTCATACATTAAGCCAGCTAACACTTCCTCTAAAAACTCAGATATTTCGGGCTTTGACACCATCCGTGAACTGGACCAATTTCTTAATGTTCTTCTAAGTAAAGGCGATGTAATTACCTGTGGTGACTTCAACTCGCGTATCGGCCATGACATTGACTTCATCAAAGGAGAAAAATGTGGCTACGAGAGCTTCATTCCCCTGCCAGAAGACTACACCCCCCAAGAACTCCCAACCAGGAACTCAAAGGACAAAAAGTCGAACAATTACAAAAGACCCTTTCTAGAAATGCTTGTCAATAATGAACTCCATATTCTCAATGGGAGAACTTTAGGAGACTCATATGGTGACTTCACTTGTATTCAGACTAGCGGTGCCAGCGTTGTTGACTACTTTATTATATCACCAAACTGCAGTAAGTATGTATGTCATATGACAATCCAGCCGTTCACTTGCTTTTCTGATCATAAACCACTACTCCTGGCACTCAACTTCTCTCCTTCCAACATTCTTGTAAACACAAAGGCTCTCCATGAAACTTACGCTCGAGCCCCACTTCGTTACAAAATAACTCCTGATAGCCTTTCAAGCTTACGGGATACAATGATGGACCCACTTGTGGAAGAATGTTCCAAAACCCTCTTAGAAACAGATTATCCCGAAGATCTCCTAGGTACATACAAATTGAACGAAGATATCACAGTTCACTTGAACAAAATAGCAGACAAATGTCTCCAAAAGACCAAACATCCCAAAATAACCAAAAAGGGATCCATAAATAAACAACCCTGGTTCACACAAGCCACTAGAGAAGCTAAAATATCCTGTACTCGAGCAGCTCAAATTGTTTCTGATTTCCCCAATAGCGATTATCTTCGAAAAAATTTTTACCAAGTAAAAAATACGTACAAAAGTTTAATTGACCGTACCAAAAACAAATATCTTGACAAACTGAATACAGATATCGAATCTGGTAAAATTCTAAACTGGAAACAATTCAAAAAAACTGAAAAAATTTAAAGGAAGAGTTGACAAATTTTATTGCCATGACATGGACAACTTTCAAAAATTCTTTGGTAAACTTTATGCCAATGCACATAGCACCATAACTGTAGAGAATAAGGAAGAAATGCTTCAAAATGCAGAGGCTATTAACAATAAGTGCCAACCATCCCCTGCACAATCAATACTCAATGGCCAGATCTCTGTGGACGAAATATCTACTGCGCTCTCTTCGCTCAAAAACGGCAAAAGTTCCTCGGAGGATATGATATGCAATGAAATACTGAAGACCTTGTCCACAACAAATACACAACTCCTTTGCAAAGTATTTAACCGCTGTTTGGACACTGGAACTTACCCGTGGAACAACAGCATTATAACACCCCTACACAAAAAAGGCGACAAAGATAATCCCGACAATTACAGAGCAATTGCTGAGAGTAGTACAATCGGGAAACTATTCTCGACCATTATGCTAAACAGGATAATCAAGTTCAAAAATGAATACAACCCGGACCCCATAAATCAACTTGGCTTCGCTAAAGGAGCTCAAACATATGACCACATACTCACACTCAACACCATTACGTCTAAATACAAAAAGCTCAAGGTTCCCGTCTATGCTGTTTTTGTGGACTTCCGGAAAGCTTTCGACTCTGTTTGCCGTGAAGCTCTTTTCTTAAAGTTAGCTAAACTAGGTATCACTGGCAAAACATTTAATGTTCTTAAACATATGTATAAAAATTCCACTGGCCAGATAAAACTATCTGGATTTGTCAGCGAAAAATTTGACATCAATAAAGGAACTGAACAGGGTCATCCACTTTCCCCTGATCTTTTTAAAATATACATCAGAGATCTTTCCCCTCGACTAGAATATGATAACTGTCCGAAACTAATGAACCAACTTATCAGTCACTTACTATGGGCAGATGATCTGATACTCTTGGCACTGGACCCCAAAACCCTCCAAAAGCAACTCGATGCTTTGAACAATTTCTGCTTGGAATGGGGCGTCGAAATTAATGCAGACAAAACTAAACTCATGAAATTTAATTCCCGCTTCGATAATTATCAGCCGGTTCCCCTCAAAATTGGTAATCACTTGTTAGAAGAAGTCGAGTCATACTGTTATCTAGGAATCGAAATACACAAATCCGGCACATTCACAAATGCCCGAACTGAGCTCAAAAAGAAAGCCATGCGTGCACTTTATGGCATGAAAAGCTCAGTAAACAAATCCAAATTATCATTCCGTTCTCTAACAACACTCTTTGATGCTCTTATTAAACCTATCGTTCTTTACGGAGCGCCTATTTACACACCTAATATGGCTATCATAAAACACATAACAAAACAAGTCGATCTCAATATGGATCCCGACACAAAAACAAAATTTCAAACTAGTATCCTCAAGAAAATTAGTCTTCTGAACAGCGAAAAAGTTCACCTTCACTTTCTTAAATGGTCACTGGGTGTAAATCGTAAAACCAGCAACGCAGGCGTCTGGGGTGAGTCAGGCCGCTACCCATTAATCTATGAATGTATTAACCTCACTCTCAAATATAGCCAACGCTTGAAAAATCTCAAAGATAACTCCCTTGTATCCTTAGCTTTCAAAAACTGGTACCGAAGCTGCCCAAAATCATTGTCATCACCAAGTTGAAAATAACCATGTTCTAAAGAAAATCTTGATTAGTATTACACCACGGCGAGTGTTGTTAATCATTCCAACTATTTACTACTAATAAGGTAGCTAATCTCATCAATACGGTAGGAATAAACACTCAGGTTAACCTAGAAATACAATAAGACTGTTAAAACGAAAAAAAAAACATTTTAACTTAAATATGGTATTTTACAAAACTACTTTACAATTTTCTCTCCTCGTCCTGCAATAACTAACATACCCTCGGCGCTCTGATTTACCCTACCACACACTCTCTTAGAAGCGTCGGTCGTCACTTTGACCAGCCGCTCCACAGATTGCGTGTGGCAAGGTAAATCAGACTTAAACGGACTGCTCAGAAAAGAGAGTACATCTAAACCCTTAGTAAGGGGCGGTTCGGTAACATACACAAAATCTCCTTAAATGACAAATAAACCCAACGATCATTAACTTTACTCATCTTACATAAATCAGAATACACTTCAGCATCAAAATTAAGTCTAGGTAAGTAATAATTTAACTCCGTACACACTTCATCAACACCCCTTAAGTCTAAAATCAAATCTACGGCCTTTTTCCTTAATACGTAATTCTTATCCCCTAACATTGCTATCAAAATATTATGTGGATGCGCAAAATAACTGTTGACTTGAACACCATTTAAAATAAAATCTCTTTCAGACTTACTCTTAATAACCTTCTTAATAAAACTAATCTCCTGAAATAAATTTACGGAACCATACACAATAGAATCATAGTATTTAATAAACATATGCATCGGAAAGTATATATTTACAACATATTCTGCTAATTTTCTTAATTTACCCATTACATTACCCGGGACTCCGCCAGACATGAATAATCTTAAGATTCTGCTTTGGAATGTTATCCACCTGGCGTGGCAGAGGGGGCCAATTTCTGTTCCTGCAAGCTTAGGTGGTAGTGCCCCTGCGGAAACAAGAATTTAGAAATTTCAATCCTATGAGTCAGTATTTAACAGCAATGGAACCAGAGCAGGCTTAGCAAGAGAGAGTTTTCGGAAGAGCTTGAACAAGCAGCGTATCAATGAATTAATTTAGAAACACTTACCGGTTTGAACAGCTAAAACGTGGCGGTAGAGAACCTTCTGGTCCCAACTCAGTTTCTTGACAACACCATCAGGAAGAGGGGAGAAGGTGTGGGCTCTGAGTGGGACAAACTTCCTCGACGCCATCTGGTGAACCGGTCCAGCAGCAAGCTTCCCGGTGGGGCCGGAGAAAGAATTAGGTCCGGTCGTGACTCCATCGAGCGAGGTGAAGAAATGCCGGAAGGGTAGTTCTATCCTGTGTAATGAGCAAACACTTCTCTGCAGTTCCCTCCCCAGCTTCTTTTCCAAGAGGACGACAACTCCCGAATGTCTTCCCGTGTTAGTGCGTTTGACCAATGAGACGTTAGATACTACCAATCAATATTGGTGTCACAAAATATAATCCTCGCGAGCATGAAAATAATGGAATTAGCTAACTAACCGCTTCCGCTGTCAGGAGTGGCGAAACCAAGATATCGACCGGACGGCTGTTCCACCAAAGTAATGTGTTCTTCTTCTTGGCGCCGGAGAACTTCGTCTGAGTCTTTGAGGAGGGTTCCTCTATCTTTTCTTCCGTCGAAATACAGGGCTTCGACTGCTGTACCCTTTAGGTTATCCAGTAAAGCTCCCCTGGACTTAGCCCGTATGTTCCGGATCTTCTTTTCTGTCACCTGCTCCTGTATCCCGACTACCTCGTTGTATTTGCTGAGAAAACGGGCTGCAGTCCCGTTTGATAACTGTTCTGCGGCTAATCGAGGAGCGAGATTTTCAAGTTTCATTAAGTTGTATCTCCCTTTCTTAGCTGGTGGTGTCCTGAAGGATTAGTTCAACATTAAATTTTGAAATTTACGTTTTTCTCTTTGGAAACATTTGATGCAAAATTGATACAATTTTAGACACGGTTGACGAGATGTCACGGGGATGGAATATTTTATTGAAACTGGAACTTCAAATTTCCAATTTCATCCATCAGTAGAACGTACCTAAAAAGCTAAAATTTAAACCACATCCGGAATTTTCCAAAACCAAGAACTTTTTCAAAAAAGGACGACTTTACCAACATCGCAGAAATAGCACTGATGAAGGAGGTTTCTTATCAATATTCAAATTACTTGTTTGCTAATAGTCAAGGTTGAAACTTACATTTGAGCGTTCGAACCGGTGAGATTTTCCTGTTGAATGTGTCGCCTCGATTCGAATCCGTTAAAAAATCCAAAAATCTGTAGAATACAAGTTTGTTCGTCGAATTTAGCAAATTTTTGACGAAATTTGAATCCTCTTTTTATCTAATCATTATATTATGATGCCATTACGTAAAATTATTAGTAATACAGGGTCGGCCAAAAGTCACTGTGCAAACTTAAAACCGGAAACTTTCCATCGATACGGATAAAGAAGGAAATTCTTACCTCGGGTCAGGCTCAAAGTCGCTATCGCTGTTGGTATCACTGTCTGATCCCTCAGTGTCAGAGTCCAGTTGTAGACTCCGTCGTCTTTTTCTCTCTCGTAAATTGCGTGACTGAAATGTATGTGTTATTACCTGAGTCTGGGCAGAAGGTCCAGCAAGGACTTCAAGGACAGGGGAAACAGCAGTTACGGGAGAGAGATTCTGGTCAGCAACAGGTTCAGGGCTCGCAGAACTGTCAACGTTGATCTCTAGAGCGGATTCGACTTCAGTAGTTACTGGTGTAGATGGCTGGGACTGAGCTTCAGGAGAGGAAGAATAGGTAATGAAAATCTTCTTCTCGAGCTCTTCCTTCCGCTTTCTGACAGTTTGAACGCTTAAAGTAGAATGTTTACGAGCTTGTTCTCGAGTTTTCTTCAGTCTCCTGAAATTTTAACATTTATTACCTCCTCTATTAACGTTCAATCAGAAATTATGAGGTTTAAAGTAGAGGCAGAATGAAGTACTAAAGTACAGGTAATACAATTGTTCAAAGAAATGTCACAAAGTATAGATTTCCGTGTTCTAGGTCAGGTTCAGGTCAAATAGCATAAATTTCAGGCAGAGTGAACATGATTTCAGGCAGGCAGCATTGCGGAAATATCAGAGTCGAAAAGTACAATATCTGTAACGGATCTCTGACAGAGAATTAGCCAAACTTAAGTGACAGATTGAAATACAGGAGTTCTCAGAAAGGACAGGTTACCCCAAATTTCAGCGACGAAATCAAGTACAAAAGTACAGGTCAGGTAATACAATTGTTCAAAGAAATGTCACAAAGTATAGATTTTCGTGTTCTAGGTCAGGTTTAGGCCAAATAGCACAAATTTCAGGCAGAGTGAACATGATTTCAGGCAGGCAGCATTGCGGAAATATCAGAGTCGAAAAGTACAATATCTGTAACGGATCTTAAGTGTAGCCAAACTTAAGTGACAGATTTACGGAGCCAAACTTAAGTGACAGATTGAAATACAGGAGTTCTCAGAAAGGACAGGTTACCCCAAATTTCAGCGACGAAATCAAGTACAAAAGTACAGGTCAGGTAATACAATTGTTCAAAGAAATGTCACAAAGTATAGATTTTCGTGTTCTAGGTCAGGTTCAGGCCAAATAGCACAAATTTCAGGCAGAGTGAACATGATTTCAGGCAGGCAGCATTGCGGAAATATCAGAGTTGAAAAAGTACAATATCTGTAACGGATCTCTGACAGAGAATTAGCCAAACTTAAGTGACAGATTGAAATACAGGAGTTCTCAGAAAGGACAGGTTACCCCAAATTTCAGCGACGAAATCAAGTACAAAAGTACAGGTCAGGTAATACAATTGTTCAAAGAAATGTCACAAAGTATAGATTTTCGTGTTCTAGGTCAGGTTCAGGCCAAATAGCACAAATTTCAGGCAGAGTGAACATGATTTCAGGCAGGCAGCATTGCGGAAATATCAGAGTCGAAAAGTACAATATCTGTAACGGATCTTAAGTGGAGCCAAACTTAAGTGACAGATTAACGGAGCCAAACTTAAGTGACAGATTGCAATACAGGAGTTCTCAGAAAGGACAGGTTACCGCAAATTTCAGCGACGAAATCAAGTACAAAAGTACAGGTCAGGTAATACAATTGTTCAAAGAAATGTCACAAAGTATAGATTTTCGTGTTCTAGGTCAGGTTCAGGTCAAATAGCATAAATTTCAGGCAGAGTGAACATGATTTCAGGCAGGCAGCATTGCGGAAATATCAGAGTTGAAAAAGTACAATATCTGTAACGGATCTCTGACAGAGAATTAGCCAAACTTAAGTGACAGATTGAAATACAGGAGTTCTCAGAAAGGACAGGTTACCCCAAATTTCAGCGACGAAATCAAGTACAAAAGTACAGGTCAGGTAATACAATTGTTCAAAGAAATGTCACAAAGTATAGATTTTCGTGTTCTAGGTCAGGTTCAGGCCAAATAGCACAAATTTCAGGCAGAGTGAACATGATTTTAGGCAGGCAGCATTGCGGAAATATCAGAGTTGAAAAAGTACAATATCTGTAACGGATCTCTGACAGAGAATTAGCCAAACTTAAGTGACAGATTAACGGAGCCAAACTTAAGTGACAGATTGAAATACAGGAGTTCTCAGAAAGGACAGGTTACCGCAAATTTCAGCGAATTTCTAAAATACAGTACAATATGCGTAAAACTAACAAAAAACTAACCCGACAAGGGATTTGTGGGAGTCGGAGCAGCAGTAGGTGTCCAAGAGAGTCTGAGCCACCTGGTGAAGTAGAGGAGTTCCAGTTAGAAGAGAAGTGGCACAGAAGGACAGGTATCTCAAGACATCCCCGGAAGTCGGAAGTGCAGCAGGATCAGGTAAAGGAGCCTTCCCTCCGATGAAGGTCAGGTAATGTCCGAGAGGCATACGATCAGGAGTAAGTTTAGAATAGGTTGTAGTTGAGAGAAGTGATAAATACTTAATAAATTGTAATGGAATGGTCTTCTCTTTTATACCACCACGGCCCTATCAGGGCTGATAGTCCAGAACGTGACCCAATCAGTGCTGATCACCGTTCGGTTTCTCCTTGCTTCCTTGTTGAACGTGACCCAATCAGCAAAAACCTTTCTACAAGTCGTCGTCACCTAACGAGTGCCGATCACTGTTCTGGTTCTCCTTGCTTTCTTGTTGAACGTCACCCAATCATTTGGCACGGGTTAGTCACGTGATCTCATTAAACATCTTGTTGCACGAGATCATTATCAGGACTTAAATGTCACTTCACCCACAACGATAACTTTCAATCCAATCTACTTTATGTACCTTTCTTATTTACATCAGAAAACCAGCAGTTGGTCAAGTTTCGATATAACAAGATTAAATTACCAACTTAGTGCTGATCCAAATGTTTGGACTAGTTTTGAAATGGGCGGCAAACTCCACGTTTCAGAACATCAATGCATGGAACTGAGATTTGCAGTGTTCGTTGAAAGCAACAAGCTAAAGCGCCCACGTGTTCCCTGTAGTGAAAACTTTATCCAACGCGAAATACATATTTTGGCGCTAGGCGAGCTGGTAAACTTAATTTTGGTAAATTAATGAGATGACCGATATTTTCTCAAAAAACTTTGCTGTTAAATCTAATTTATCATTATTTGAGGTCTAATTTGGATAATGCATAGAATCTGTAATAATTTCAATACTGCTGCTTGACCCAGCTTATATGTTTGGCTCCGCGCGATCGTCTCAAATTACGCAATTATAATGCGATAAAGTGAGCTTAGTTATCAGAACTTCAACATGCCTAAACATTGGCCAATCTTGAAAAGTTTGGTATCCCCGTATAGGGAAAATTGTTGGCTACAAGATCTGACAGTTGGCATATTGATTTAGGCATTTAAAATCGATGGGCGACCCCAGGCAGGTCTTTGAGGAGGTAGTGAGTGGGTCACTAGTCACTACCTGGTAGCCCCTTGTCATCTGATGAAGGATTCGTCTCGTGAGATGGGTGGGTGGTTGGCTGATCCAATAAGTTGAGCGCGGCGTCGACCATGGTAAATTTTCTTATCAGCAAACGAATTTCATGCGTAATGTAAAAGACAAATATGATAATGATAAAGGCAAGTGATATCTCTGTTAAAGTCTTGAAAAAGAGTGTAAATTATCTGTCTGGTCATATCTCTAGATTCTTTAATTGGTTCTTGGACAATGGGGTCTTTCCAAACAAGCTTAAAACGGGCTCTATTACACCAATTTATAAAAAAGGAGACTCACGATGCCTTGATAACTATCGACCTGTTTCTACATTACCGATATTTGGCAAAATACTTGAAAAAATAATTTATAATAGGTTATATAATTACCTCAGTGCTATGAACGTGATTTATGATCGACAATTTGGTTTTAGAAAACAACACTCAACATCTCATGCCGTAAACTATTCTGTCAATAAAATACTTAATGAGATTGAACAGAAAAATCATGTAATTGGAATATTTATTGATCTAAGTAAAGCATTTGACACAATTGAGCACGATAAACTCCTGCATAAACTTGAACACTATGGAGTAAGAGGTATTGCACTAAAAACTCTTGCTAGCTATCTAACAAACCGTAGCCAAGTAACTTCTTTTCAAACTGAAAAATCGGACAAGTGTTCAGTTGAGTATGGTGTACCCCAGGGGTCAGTGTTAGGACCTCTACTATTTCTGATTTATATAAATGATATTGTGAGCTCCTCATGTTTGGCTGAATTCGTCCTGTTTGCTGATGATACAAATATTTTTGTGATAGGTCGTTCAGCACAGGAAGCTTTTGAAAAAGCTAATCATGTAATGAAACAAGTCAGTAACTATATGGAGTCTAACAAGTTACATATAAATGCAGGGAAAAGTTGTTTTATGCATTTTCAGCCAGGTTTGTCAAGAGCAATACAGACCTGTGCTAGAACACGGCCCTTTAACAGGAATCTAACGATTTCAATAGATGGCAAAAAGCTAGAAAAAGTTCAATGTACAAAATTTCTTGGGGTGACAATAGACGAACAGCTATGTTGGGAACCACATCTTAATCATTTATCTTTAAAGCTGAACTCCAGTATTGTATCGATTAAGAGAATTTGCAAATTCATTCCCAAATCTGAATATTTGAAACTATACAATGCTCTTTGTATGTCACATCTTAGCTATTGTATAAGTTGCTGGGGTGGGATCCCTAAACATAAGCTGAATAAAATCTTTGCTATTCAAAAACGATGTATACGACTGCTATTTGGTAACATTCCCAATTTCGATCATAAAGAATACTACTTAACCTGTGCACGTTCAAGAACTTATAACGAACATATGGCTAAAAAGAACTACTGTCTTAAACACACTAAACCGCTATTCACTGAGCAGAAAATTATGAACCTGGAGAATCTGCACATGTACCATACATTTATGGAGCTATTCAAAATTCTTAAATTTGATGTCCCCCAGTCGATTAAAGATCTTTTCAAGTTCTGTCCTAGAAATGAAAAACTTCGTCTGATTGTCCCATTACTGAGGTTAGATATCTCCCAACAGAACTTTTTGTACACCTCTACGAAAATATGGAATGATCTCATCCCCTATGTATTCGAAATATGTGATGCTAATATAGATGGGATAATAATCCCGGGTTCTTCCAAAAATTCAGACTTATCAGCCTCGTCAGGTATTATTAAATCTAACCTTAAAAAGCACTTGCTATCCCTCCAAAATCGAGGTGACCCTAATATATGGTAACTAATCTATCACAATGCTGGCAAGCATGACCGTGCCTCTTATATTCACAATACTATTTACCCCCTTTACTATTTACCCCCTTTACTATTTACCCCCTTTACTATTTACCCCCTTTACTATTTACCCCTTTTACTATTTAACCCCTTTACTATTTACCCCCTTTACTATTTACCCCCTTGACTTTTATACCCCCTTTACTATTATACCCCTTTATTGTTTTTCAGGCATTAAGACTCATCGAAAGTAGTTCAGCAGGTATATTTATGTTCAAAACAGTCTAATTTAATGTTAAATATGACAGGAATAAGAAATAGTTATGTGAAGGTTTTATGAAATTTGCGCAAAATACGCGCCAGCATGTTATACGAAATTCGGTAAAAAACCCAAAATCGCCATATTCAGGTGCCTTAAAAACCATGTTAAAATTGTGTTAGAGATCTGAAAATTTGCAGGGCGTCTAGACGTTGACCAAATCGACTGCAAAAAAAGTTTCAAGTTTCCGGAGCATCGGGAAATGGGTTTTCTAGAACCCCTGTTTTACGACAGATTGTCGGGACATATACATCACAGTGCTGGCAAGCACGACCGTTGCATTTATTGTAGGTATACTATGTTCCCCATTTACTATTATACCCCCTTTACTATTATACCCCCTTTACTATTATACCCCCGTTACTATTATACCCCCTTTGGTACACGTTACAAGCCTCTTTCGTGCACGCGAAGCGTGCACTCCGGCCGGAGGCGGCGGCCGAAGGCCGCCGCCTCCGGCAGGAGTTTTTCAGGCATTAAGACTCATCGGAAGTCGTTCGACAGATTTATTTTTAGTTCAAAACATTCTAATTTGATGTCAAAGATGACAGGAATAAAAAATAGTTATGTTGAGATTTTTAAGAAATTTGCATAAAATACTCGCCAGCACTGTTTAGTTATACGAAATTCGGTAAAAAACCCAAAATCGCCATATTCAGGTGCCTTAAATTTAAAAACCATGTTAAAATTGAGTTAGAGATCTGAAATTTTTTAGGACGTCTAGACGTTGACCAAATCGATTGCAAAAAAAGTTTCAAGTTTCAGGAGCATCGGGAAATTTTTTTGGCAAGTTGCAGACTATATAGCAATTAAACTACAGCAATCGTCAGGAACTTAGATTAGATTTTTTTTTGGAAAACGAAATTAGATATATACAGAATAGTATTACAGGTTATATATAATGAATATCATCATTGTCAAAAATAAAAACCAGTCCATGGGACTGAAAAATTTAATTAACTTTCGATTCGAAAGAGTTAAATTCTAAATCATCCATGTTAGATAATTCTACAGTTCTATTTGAGGTTTTTCTAGATCCTCTTATACATAATAAAATCATTTTTCTAATTAAAAAAGATAACTTACACCGATAATAATTAATAATATCGTTGTAATTCTGTTTTTGTTTATATGCAAGTTTATTACATAGTAGTTTCTCGAACGTCTTAGCCTGCGGTCCCATGCCACCCGTCACTGAGTAGATTAATGGAGCAAATGATCCGTGCTCTACATTTAAAATCCTTTCGTTGTAACATCTGGATTTCTGTTTCTCGGCATTCTCCATGACTTTCTTTGTCGAATGTTGAAGGTAGGAATTAGAATTAGGATTAATTACCTTAACATCGAAAAAAGCCACTTGGCCTGCCCTATAGAAACCACGAGCTTTTATATCCGGTCTCGCCTGGTCACCCGTAAGTGTCGAAGACCTCGTGAACTGCTCTCCTTCTAGTTCTTGAAGCTGAGGTTCAACTTCCACGTCCGAGCAAACCGTCTTCAACAAGCCTGCTAAAAAATCCCTAATTTCGTTGTGTCTGATAATGATGTAGCCACCAAGGTGGCAATTCAGAGAATGGTTCACATCAAAAGTTTTTCCGCATGGACATTGTGATGGTAAACGATCCAGATCTAAGTTGTACCGCAATCTGATAGAATCCCTAAATTCAGATTTATTTAGAACGAATCCATGTTTTCTTAGTGGTAGACATGAGAGCCAATTTGAGCTCCCTGGTTCGCTAATCTGATCCAAAACCCTTGCAGTCTTCTTATCAACCTTTTTAAGTATGTTCTCTTGTTGTTCTTTATATTCAGAAACACGTTGTTTTAATATATCTTGAAGCTCATCTGTCGATTCCGAGAAGGTTGTAGCAAGCGATTTGCCTTTCATGGAATTTACCAGTCCCCGAGTTACCAAAAGCGATGCAGCATGCTCTCTTTTTGCCAAATACT